TCTGTCCATTTGCTGTAGAGAAGTAACTTGTGGTTGCTGTGATACTAAACACTATGACACTAATGTGTCAAATGAGATAATGGTTACCCATGGTGGACAGTGCTTGACGGAGCTCCCTGATTAAAACAAGCTTGGAAGCAGAAGAGGCATCCACTTCCAAAATAGTTTGCCTCCGAAGATTCTATGGATATGGAGAAACAATGAACGTTATACAAGTGTTCAGTTTTTTTGTTCATAGGGTTGCTATGCATTGTCTACCACTCGATGGCACTTTACAAGAACAACAACAACAGATTCCTTACAAGACCTCCACAAGAAAAAGACTGATAAAACAATTACAAAATGGGCAAAATATATGGAAAGAATTTTCATGAAGGAAGATATTTGGATAGCCAATAGACGCATGAAGAAATGCTCAAAATTACTGTCAATAAGAGAGATGCAAATCAAACCCACAATGATATACCATCTCACTTCAGTAGCAGTGGCAAAGTTTTACAAGGCAACAGGTAATCAATGTTGAAGAGGATGTGGCAAGATAGGAACTCTAACAGACTGTTGGTGGTATTGTAAAATGGTACAACCACTCTAGAAGGCAGTATGATGTTTCCTCAGAAAGCGGAACATAGAAATTCTATATGACCCATCTATTCCACTGTTTGGAATATACCCTGAGAAAATGAGAACTGAAGCACAAATGGAGACTTGTACACCAATGTTCATTGCAGCGTTATTCACCATTGCAAGAACATGGAAGTAGCCCAAATGTCAAACCACGATTGGATGGATTGAGAAATTAAGTCACATTCATACAATGCAATATTACACAGCACGCAGGAGCAATGATTCTGTAAATCACTACCTAACTTGGAGGGACTGGAGAGCATTATGCTAAGTGAACTAACTTAGTCCCATAGGGACAAATACTATATAAGGTCATTATTGTAGAATGTGTATGAGGATCCAAGGGGAAGAGGGTGGGAACAGAGTGCTAAGAATGGGCAGAAGGGGGCTTTGGGGTGGTTAATCATAGGGTCATACAATTTGATGAATGGAAGGAGAGGTCAGTAAAGGAAATGGGAAAGATCCGATGTGAAAAACAATGTATATGAAATTTGAAAGCAACACAGTACAAAATAAAAATTTTATTTAAAAAAATTAAAAAAGAAATATATTCATACAGTGGAATACTACACAGCACTGAAAAAAATGACCTTATAAAACATTCCACAATATGGTTGATCCTGCAGGACATTATAATGAGTGAAATATCTCAATCGCAAAAGGGCAAATACTGCATAGCACCACTTTTATAAACAGGTCTGACATGGGAGGTTGGGAGAATAGGGTAAGAGTGGACAGATAATGTGCACTGCATTGGAACAGATCAAAGAAAGAACTGTTTAAAAAGAATATATGATTAGGCATTATACATACAACAACAACCCAGAATAAGAGGTACATTGCAAAGAGGACTGGGGGGAAGAGAGTCAGGGAGGTAACTGTGCAACAATGAATGAATGAAAATCTAACTTTTCTGTAAAATTTTCATTAAAAACACAAAATAAAAAATTTTATTTCTAAAAAGATGGATCAGATCTTTCTAATGTTTTTCTATTGCAATGGAATTTAAGGCTTGACATGATGTTATTATTTTCTGTTCAAACTCCTCCTCATTGACATCCTATCTCAATTTGTTTTGCCTTAGAGCGTATATACTCAATTCTTCCTTTTTCAGTAACATTCAGCCCCAAGATGTGATCATAATTAGTTCTTTCTTAAAATATTCAAGCCTCAGTTTAAATGCATGTATGAGGCAAGGACTTCATCTAAATGAGTCCCAACTTCCAGAAATATTTAAATACGTATGTTGTATTACATCACCTTTTATTTACTTCACCACATTTATCAATTATCTTGTACATTTAGCTTATTATTTTGCCTTGATTGTCTCTTCTATCACATATCACTACACCTAGTTAGTGTTTAGAGGAGTGTCTGTCTGGTATATATTAGGTTGTTGCTTTTATGTGTGGTCAAGTCTCCTGCAACTCATAGAGATCCTATGTACAACAGCCCTAAACCCTGCTCTATCTTAAGTCAACCTTATTGTTTCTGACACACCTACCCCTTTACCCCAGTCACTGAGTGAATCCATCTAAATGAGTGTCTTCCTCTCTTGCACTGTAATTCCATCCTCCCAAGCATGATGTCCCTCTCCAAGAAGTGGTTTCTCTCTGCAACAGGCCCAAAGTAAGACAGACAGAGCTTCAGAATCCTTGCCTCCAAGGAACACCTTGGTTCCACCATCTATAGGAAAAACCTGTTTGTTTTCTTAGCAGTCCATGATATATTCAATACTCTTCTCCAGCACTGCATCTCAAAGGCATCAATTCTCCTTCTATCAGCCCTAGACATTGTCCAACTTTTTATGCATAGCAACTTAATTGCAAAGATCATGGCCTGGATTGGGCACATCTTAGTCTCCAGACTGACATTGTTCCTCTTCAGTACCCTGGAGACATCCCTGACAGCAGACTTTCCCAATGCAATTCATCTTTCTATTTCCTGGCCGCTGGTACCAAGAGTGTTGACTGTGGAGCCAAGCAAACTAAAGCTATTAACAATCTCAATCTCTTCACTGTCTATCATAATGTTGCCAATCGGCCCAGTGATGAGGATCTTTGTTTTCTTGATGTGGAGCTTCAATCCATATAGGAGGCTACAGTCCTTGACCTTCTGCAGCAAGTGCTTCATGTCCTCAGTTTCAGTAAGCAGGGTTGTGTCATATGCACAATGCAGAGTGTTGATAAGTCTTCCTCCAATCCTGATGCCACCTTTTTCCTCATAAATATATTGCTCTTGTTGTTGTTATGTGCTGTCGAGTTGCCAACAACTCATAGCAACCCTATATACAACAGCCCCAAACTCTGCTCTATCCTGTGCCAGTTTCACTGTCTCTGACACACCTACCCTCATTACCCGAGTCACTGAATCAATCCATCTTATCTTCCTCTCCAGCATTGTCTCTCCACCCTCCCAAGCATGATGTCCCTCTCCAAGGACCAGTCCCTCCTTGCAACATGTCCAAAGTATGTCAGACAAAGCTTCAGAATCCTTGCCTCCAAGGATCACCCTAGTTTAATCCTCTCTAGGACAAACCTATTCGTCCACTTAGCAGTCCATGGTATATTCAGTAATCTTCTCCAATACCAAAGCTTAAAGACCTCAATTCTCCTTCTATCCTCCCTAGTCATTGTCCAGCTATCTGATGCATGTCAAGTGATTGCAAAGACTGAGGCACACCTCAGTCTCAAGACTGATATTGTTTCTCTTCAGTACTTGGGAGGGGTCTCTAACAGCAGACTTTCCCATCATAATATATCTTTTGATTTCCTGACTGCTGGTGCCAAGAGTGTTGATTGTGGAGCCAAGCATACTAAAGCTGTTAACAACCTCAATCTCTTCACCATCTATCATGATGCTGTCAATTGGCCCAGTGGTGAGAATCTTTGTCTTCTTGATATTGAGCCTCAATCCATATTGGAGGCTGCAGTCTTTGACCTGCAGCAAGTGCTTCCAGTCCTCACTTTCAGCAAGCAGAATTTTACCATCTGCATAATGCAGGTTGTTGTTGAAATGTTGAATCTTCCTTCAATCCTAATGCCACATTTCTCTTCATAGAGCCCAGCCTCCAGGAGAATCTGTTCTGCATATAGATTGAAAAGGTATGAAGATACATTCATGGTGTACACTCTTTCCAATTTTGAACTAGGCAGTGTTTCTTGCTCTGTTCTGATGACTTCCTCCTGGTCCAAGAATAGGTTTTGCATTAGCACAATCAAGTGTTCTGGGATTCCCATTCTTCTCAGAGTCAGCCATAGCTTGTTGTGATGCACACAGTCAAACACCTTTGCATAGTCAATGAAACACGTATAGATATTCCTCTGGTACTCCCTCCTTTTATCCAAGATTCATCGAACATTAGCTACAATATCCCTAGTACCACGATCCCTTCTAAACCCAGCCTTCACTTTCGGCAGTTCTCTGTTGTGCTGTTCCAGTCGTTTTTTGATAATCTTCAGCAGAATCTTGCTTGCATGTGATATTAATGACATTGTTCGATAATTTCCATACTCTGTCAGGTTACCCTTCCTTGGAATGGGAACAAAGAAAGATCTCTTCCAGCCAGTTGGCCAAGTGGTTGTCCTCTAGATTTCTTGGCAAGACATGGTGAGCACATCCAGGGCAGCATCTGTTAGTTGAAATATGTCAATTGGTACACTATCAGTTCCAGGGGCCTTACTTTTAGGCAATTCTTTCAAAGCAGCTTGAACTTTTTCCTTCATCACCATAGGCTCTTGCTCATATGTTGTTTCATTAAATTCTTCTGTATCTGCCGATTCCTTTTAGTACAATGACACTGTATACTCTTTCCATCTTCTTTTAATACTTCCTAGATCATTTAATAGTCTGCCCAAAGCATCCTTAAGTATTGAAACTTGGGGTTTGAATTTGTTCTTCAGTTCCTTCAGCTTAAGAAATGCTTAGGCATTCAATAAATGGTGATCTAAGAGACCATCTTTCTCAATTCTTGATGTAGTTTTATTCCTGCCTCCTAGTTTTGTCTTGGCTCTCCTGAACAATGGGGGTTCCCTCACTTCTTCTTTCCCACCCAAATTTCACCTACGATTTTTGATCCTACATCAAGACTCAACCTCTATGAGAAGCCTCCCTATTTCGGTTCTCTCTGCACCTACCATCCCTTCCTCTATCACAGACATTTGCTCCTTTCATGGCCCTTTTTCCAGCTGTTTGTCTCTGTGCCCTGTCTTACCATTTTTACTGAGAGCTAATTAAGGAATAGCAAAGCTTTTTTTTTCTTCCAACCTCCTCACAGTATATTGTGTCATTTCTGTTGAGGCAAGCTCCTGGCAAAGATGCAATTTATAAAGACAGTAGTATCCCAGAATGCCATATGAACTAGAAAAACAACTTACCTTGTTTCACCACCAAGAGTTCTGTAGGTACTTTTATATAACCCTTCAAAACCATCAGCTAACTTGGCTTGGAAGTCAATAGCCACATAGTATCTCGTGTCAGCAGCAAGTTCTTCTGGGACCAGCAGTGCAATTTGTTGATGAGCAGGATAATTCAGAACAGTAAGCTTTTTCCCTGGTTTCCTGTACCTCAAATCTTCCTCAGAGTGAAGAGAAGCATTCAGGATTTCAAGGTCTTTGCTGTGCAAGATGATAAACTGAGTGGCTTTCCTAACCAAGACCTCAATCTCCTCAGAGGCAGCAAAGTCCAAGGAAGTGAGATTTGGGTGGATTAGGAGTTCATACTGTAGGGGTGTGATGGTGAGAGGGAGCCTCAACTCATGCCAAGGAAATGGTTCCCCGCTGGTGGCCACAGGGAAGCTCTCAGGATCCTTATTGAACTGATTCATGAACTCAGAGCAAACGCATAGCCTGGTTAGGATGACTGCTGAGAAATAAAGTCCCCTGTAAAAATGAAATATTAGTTTTCTGTGTAAATTAGCCATTGCAGAAACCTGGAAATGTCAATCTATCTTCTAGAAGAAAAGTTATTCTCCAGGTCATAACATTGCTTTGCCTCCAGTTCCAGCACATAGAATCTTGAAAGTAGGTTTCAATATGTGGACTTTACCTAGAAGGAAAAGGAAAAAACCCTTCATTTATTGCATAAAGTATTTCAATTCACATATTAAACCTTTAAAGAGAAAAAGAAATTATAGCATAAAGTATTTCAATTCACAAATGAAACTATTATCTATTTGAGTGGAGAAAACTTTTTTGCTGTCAGTTTTAGGTCAAATATTCACAAAATAGAGAAAAACTCGAGCTATCTTCTAGTTATAGCAAACAAAAATCTTTAGGCCACAAATGCAAAGAGGCTACCATAAATTTGCTTGTGAAGAGTCCTTTCTGCATTTCTACGCAATGAACAGGGGGCAGGTATGTAATACATTGTCTCATAAACTAAACTCTCTCATGGCTGGTCCTCTAGCGGGTTTCCAAGGCTGTAAATTGCTCAGAAGACTGCTTATCTTTTTCCTACTGATGGATTCTCGTGGGAGAGGCACAACATCTGTGGTTAGCAGACGATCCCACCAGAGTTCATTGTAAATGTCCTTCTTCAAATCCAACGTCGATTGACTTTTTCGAACCTTTGTCTCCGTTTTTTTAAAGGGTATGCCATAAAAGGTGAACTGTGCAGAATGTCTCCTTTATTTTAATAAGTGCCAAAAAAACTCTATACCTTTTGGCGAGCAGGAATTATTACTAGCCTTGAACTTCAGCTTTTAATCAAGGCATAATCAGAATTGCCTTATTTTGTAACTAACAATATAAAAGAGACAATTTTTTTAAAAAAATTATATTAGATCATTAAGAAGCCAAAACAAAGAGAAAACATGTCAAAGTAAAAGAGTTGAACAGAAGATTTCAAATGGCAGCTCAAGAAGACAAAATGAAGTATTATAATGGAATAGCAGAGACCTGAAATTGGAGAATAAAAAAGAAAGAACTTGTATTTCTCAAACTGACAGAACTGAAAAACAAATCTAAACTTTGGGTAGCAATATTGAAAGATACTATGGGTAATACATTGTATGACCCAGGAAAATAAAAAGAAGAAGGGAGTACACAGAATCACGGTACCACAAAGAACTGATTGACACTTAATAATTTCAGGAAGTACCATAGGAGCAGGAGCCAATGATAATGAAGAAGGGGATGGAAGCTGCATTGAAGGCCATTGGAAAAAAAAATCCCCCAGGAATCGAAGGGACACCAACTGACTTTTTCAGTGAGCTCTGTATGCGCTCACCAGTCTATGCCAGGAAATTTGGAGGATAGCTGTCATGCCAAAGGATTGGAAGAGGTCCATATTTGTTCCCGTTCCCCCTAAAAGGTGATCTAATATGGAAACTATAAAACAATATAATTACTATCAAATGCAAGCAAAATGTTACTGAAGATCATTAAAAAATGACTAGAACAGTACACAGCAGGATTTAGAAGAGGCTGTGGCACCAGGGCCATCCTTGCTGATGTCTGATGGATATTGGCTGAAGGTAAAGAATACCAGAAGAATGTCTATGCTTTATTGACTACACAAGGCATTTGACTGTGTGGATCATAACAAGTTATGGATCATAACAAATTATGGCTAACATTAAGAAGAACAGGAATCCCAGAGCACTTAACTGTGCTCACGTGAAACCTATACCTGGACCAGGAGGCTGTTGCGCAAATAGAGCAGGGAAACAATGGCATAATTTAAAATTGAAAAGGGAGTGTATCAGGGTTGCTTTCTCTTTCCATACCTATTCAATCTGTATGTTGAGAAAATTATTCGAGAAGCTGAACTTTATGAAGAGTAATGTGGAACCAGGATTGAAGAGAGATTCATCAATAACCTGCATTATGGAGGTGACACAACCTTTTTCTTGATGAAAGTGAGGAGGACTTGAAACACTTGTTGCAGAGAATTGAAGAATACAGCCTTCAATATGGATTGAATCTCAGTGTCAAGAAAACGAAGATTCTTACCACTGGACAGATAGGCAACATCATGATAGATGGAGAGGAGATTGTAACTGTCAACAACTTCACCTTAGTTGGATCCACAATTAACACCCTTTGGACCAGCAGTCAAGAAATAAAGAGACACATAGTGCAGTTAGGGGCCTTTCCAAATTATTGAGGAGTAATGATGTCAGTTTGAGGACTAAGGTATGTCTGATTCAGACCATGGTCTTTCTGATAACTTGCTATGCATCCGGAAGCTGGACAGTGAATAGGGATGACAGAAGAAGCCTTTGAGCTGTGGTGATGCAGTCTAGCATTGAGCCCCTCATGGACGGCCAGAAAAGAAAACAAATATGTCTGGGAGAAAGTGCAGCCAGAGTGCTCTTTGGAGGCAAAGATAATGAGGCTTTGCCTCACATACTTAGGACATGTTGCTAGGAGAGGTTATTCCTTGGAGAGGGACATGATGCTAGGAAAGGCAGAGGATCAATGAAGAGGAGGAAGATCCTCTACCAGGTGGATTGACACAGTTACTGCCTCAATGGGCTTTAATGTGTTAGGAAGCGTGAGGATGGCACAGGATAAGAGAGAGTTCATATCTGTTGTTCATAGGGTTGCTATGTGTCATACTCAACATGAAGGCCTAACAACAACAATACAAAAGAAGCTGGTCAAACTAGGTGTTCATCTTTGGTTTAATTCCCATATATCAAAAGTCAAAGAAATGAAATTTGAGCCTATGCTGCTCTGATAATACTTTTAAAAAATTGTTTAGGGCTACAGCTTTTGCTACCTTTCACCTTACACTACCTTTGAAATAGAGTTAAATGGAATTCTCTTGCTTCATTCAATAGGACAAGGGTTGGGTTTTCCCCCCCTCAGGATAAGGGCAAAGCTTCAAAACTTAGAAGATATATAGGATAGTTAATTTTTGACACTTAACTCTATCTACCACCATGCCACATGTCTCCATTTATTTCTTCCTTGCCGCAGCTTAACCTATTAATGATTTATTTTCTCACTTTTTATGAATCATTAACAATTTCTCCATAATTAAGCATCCAAATGACTGCTTCAGTTTCCAGTTTGAAATATTGATGTAGATCAACAGGGTTTTATTTAAACAAAGGAAAATAAAGTATGACTAAGTAATGATACTCATTCTTACCTTTAGAATAGCATTAAATTGTTGCTACCAATTTAAAATTGGGAATGGAGTGTGTCAAGGCTGTATTCTCTCTCCATACCTATTCAATCTTCATGCTGAGAAAATTATCTGAGAAGCTGGACTCTATGAAGATGAGTGTGGCATCAGGATTGAGGGAGACTTATCAATAACCTGCGTTATGCAGATGATGCAACCTTGGTTGCTGAAAATGAGGAGGACTTGAAGTACTTGTTACAGATCAAGGAATGCAGCCTCCAATAAGGATTGCACCTCAATGTCTATAAAACAAGGATTCTTGTTATAGGACCAATAGTTAGTGCCATGATGGATGGAGAGGAGATTGAAACTGTCAACAGCTACATTTTTGCTTGGATCCACAATTAACACCCTTGGTGCCAGCATTCAGGAAACCAGGAGACACATTGCACTGGAAAAGTCTGCAGTTAGAGACCTTTCCAAATTATTGAGGAGTAACGATGCCAGTTTGAGGACTAAGATAAGTCTGATTCAGGCCATAGTATTTCTATTTACTTCTGTTGATTGGGTTGCTATGAGTGGTACTTGACTTGATGGCACCTAACAACAATAACAACATTGCCACCAAGTATCAGTGTTTTAAGAATCTCTTATACATACACCGTACTTGACCTAGTAGCTTGAATTTCCAAGACCAAGCATAGTTTGAAAAATAAAACTGTATACTAATGAAGACATGATCTTTGAAACAAGAATGCCTGGATTCCAATACCACTTCACCATCCTCACCAGAAGAACCTGGGAAAATTTCCTGACATTTTGAACATCAGTTCTTTCACTCATAAAACAGTGTAATAATTATACCTTCCTTTTAGAATGGTTTTGAGGAGTTAAATGAAATAATGAAGAACATGGTACAGCAACTCAAAATTCAATACCATGGTGGATTGCAATTGCCATGGTGGTGCTGCATTTTGGTTAACAGTGCAACTCCCTAAGGATTGTTATTGTTGTTGTCATCATTAGGTGCTGTTAAGTGAAACTCATAGTGTTGCTATAAACAGCCAACCTGAAACCTGAAGTATCCTTATGCCATCCTCATCACTTCTGAGATGCTAGAGCCCACTGCTAAAGACACACTGTCACTCTATCTTGTTAGTGTTCTTCCTCTTCTTTGCCGACTCTCCATTTTTCCGAACATGATGTCTCTTTCCAAGGACTAACCTTGCCTAGCTACATGTCCAAAGTATGAATGACATGGCTTCACCATTCTTGCCTCCAAGAAGCAATCTGGCTGCACCCTTTGCAGGATATATTTGTTTGCTCTTTTGGAAGTCTATGGAATATTCAGTACTCTGAAAAACTCAAAGACATCCATGCTTCTTCTGTCATCCTTACTCACTGTCCAGCTCTTTAATGCATATCAGGTAACTGAGAAAATCACAACTTGAATCAGGTGCACCTCAGTCTTCAAACTGACATCATTGCTCTTCAGTGTTTTGGAAAGTTCCCTGACAACAAACATGCCCAATGCAGTGCATCTGATTGATTTCCTGACTGCTGGTACCAATGGTATTGATTGTTGATGTAAGCAAGATGAAATAATTGTTGTCCCCATGGTGAGGACCTTTATTTTCTTGATGTTTTGATGTAATCCATACTGAAGGCTGTTGTTCTTGATCTTCTACAGCAAGGATTTCAAGTCCTCCTCTTTCTGCAAGCAAGGTTGCTCATCTTCATAACACAGTTGTTAACGAGTCTTTTTCCAATCCTAATGCCACATTCCTGTTCATAGAATCTGGCTTCATGAATTATTTCCACAGCATACAGATTGAGTAAATCTAG